AGTATAACCTGGAAGTCCCGAGGTCAAAATGGGAGATGCCCCCAAGGGTGGTGGAGAATGACCGAGCTAAGATCCTGTGGGACTTCCAGATACAGACGGACAAAATGGTGGTGGCTAACCAACCGGACATAGTGGTGGTAGACAAACAGAAGAAGACGGCCGTAGTGATCGATGTAGCGGTTCCGAATGACAGCAATATCAGGAAGAAGGAACACGAGAAGCTGGAGAAATACCAAGGGCTCAGAGAAGAGCTCGAGAGGATGTGGAGGGTGAAGGTAACGGTGGTCCCCGTGGTAATCGGAGCACTAGGTGCGGTGACTCCCAAGCTAGGCGAGTGGCTCCAGCAGATCCCGGGAACAACATCGGAGATCTCTGTCCAGAAGAGCGCAGTCCTGGGAACAGCTAAGATACTGCGCAGGACCCTCAAGCTCCCAGGCCTCTGGTAGAGGACCCGAGCTTGAAGGATAAACCGCCCGCAGGGGCGTGCTGGGTGTTTATATATATATATATATATATATATATAACCATTCCACTCTTCAGTCTCCACAGAGCATGACTCTGCCATCTGAGAAAGTTAAATATATAATTGAAATTAACATTAGGAAAAGAAAAAATGCTAATACATGTCATTTTCAGACAGCTGGAATTAACATAACTTCACTCTGAGTAGGAAGCTGATTGAGAGTCCAGCTGGATTCAGCCTGCTTTGCTCTGTTTCTCATGTCATGGAGTGCAGAGATGATGCCATCTCTAGCCGTTGTGAGGTTTTCATCAAAGTCCATGAGGTGGAAGGATTTTGAGTGGTTAAGAAATTTTTTGTAAATGTCTTTCACCATGTTCCAGGCCACCAATGTGCAGCCCCGGTTGAAGTAAGCCCATGTGAAAGATGCAACCAGGGAGAAGCAAGCAATTGCTGCGTCAGCCAGCAGTTTACAGATGTGAGCAGCAGCTTTTTAGGCCCTGCTTTTTAGAACCACAGTCAAACTGGAGCTCTTCTTTGTGGCCTGAGGATGTGAGGGTGTGACTTCCACAAGTGAGTCATCCAGAAAGAGGAACTCAAGAACAGTATTTACCACCAAGCTGTGGTGGTCAGCTGCAACTTGATGAAAAGCATCCGTTTGGAACGCTTGCTTGTGTGAGAGCTTGTAAAAGAGCTGAGCAGCTTGTTGGACAGGTGTGTGAGGAAGGTCCATCAAACCTTAGGGCAGGGATAGCTCAGTAGGTAGAGTGGTTGCCCCCTGATTGGAAGGTTGGGGGTTCGAATCCACTGAGAGCCTATCCTGTGGTACTCCTGAGCAAGGTACCATCCCTACACACTGCTCCCCAGGCGCTGCACTGGTGGCTGCCCAATGGGTGAAATGGAGAGGAGTAATTGTCCTACAGGGACTAACACATTACCTGCTCTGCTTTAGGTTGGAGGACTGAGGGACACATTTGAAGACCCTCCACAGCGACCTTTATGTAGCAGGTAGAGGAGAAGTGTGAAGGACTGTGTTAAGGATAATTACTGGTTCATTTCAACCTTGTGTATTTTCTATTAATGTAGCTGCTTTGTATCTACGAGTCAGGCCAACTCCACACTCTCCAGCTCTCATGTAGAGATTCAAGGCAGAGAGCGTTTTCCTCTTTTAGGACAAAAAAGCGGAAACTGCCTGAGGCTTTTTTTCAAACAAAGCTTGTGCATTAAAAACACGGTCATGGTGACATCAGCCATTGTTTTCTGGTTAGAGATCAGCTTGCTTTAAAAGTTTACCTAAACCACTGCATGTATGTGCCAACCACATGATATATTTATTGAGATTAGCGACTGAGACTATAAGCCCACTATAAAAGTGTTTATCGAGGTCACAAATCAAAGGAGCATTTGGACGTTGTCCCATAGACCAACTGGACTTCTTTTATAAACCGTTAAAAGCAATCCAGTGTTAAGTCCCACATGGGCTTCATTGTTCAGAGCTAGTCTTTTATATTCAGTCTGTGGAGCCATATCAATAGGCAGTAACCCAGACTGCAACCAAACCAATTCTACATTAAATTCTTTACTCATGAAACACCACATTAGATCATTACCTCTCTTCTGAACAGCTTTGTGAGACATTTCTCTTCTTGAAATTCCTCCTGGAGCTCTTCTGAGTCTCCATCTGAGTGAGACAGAGTTGCTGTGCAGAGGTCCAGGCCTGTGCAACAGGCAGTACACCGTCTCAGAAGGAAGACTTTACATTTCTGCAATTCTCAAATATCTGTCAAGCACTATGCGAATGCACAATAAGGTTAGGTGAGATGGTGCCATTCTATCAACATTAAATCCTTTGTATATGTCTTCTCTCTAAGCTACCGCTACTGCTTTAATGAATTGTTAATGTACTGATGCATTACAGAACAGCTATAAATTGCTCACAGGGGCTAGTTGTAGGTTAGATATCCTCCTTCACTTCAAGAGAGACTGACAGTGTTATTCCAAACGCATTAAAAAAAAATCATGCTCAAAAGATCTTGGTTTATTGACTCTGGGTACGCAGCACTCCATCAGCTCCATCTGTTGTCTAAATTCTCCCAAATAAGCACTCTCCAAATAATAACAGGTGTGTTTTCTGATGAGAAAAAATGTTTAAAGAGAGGTTAATGACAAAGACTTTACACACCTGATACAAAGACAAAGTTACAGCAGTCTGAGTGAAGGACGTGTACTTTCAGGTTATATCAGAGCTGCAGTAAGAAAGAGTATGTGATCTTGCGTGTCTTGATGTGTGTGTATTTGTGTATGTGTGTGGAATATGCAGCAGATCGCATGATTCTGGAACTTGACATGAAACCAAATAAAAGTCTAAATGGGACCAGTTCCAAAAATAAACAAAAACAAAACAAGAAACCCCCCCCCCCAAAAACCCAACAACAGTGTCAAGTCTTGTTGTCACATGAAATGATTGTGGGCTTAATTTAAACAGTTGTTTTTGCAGCATTTTTGTGAAGCAATTAAAGTTTCATGTTGTGCTCCACAAACTCGCACTTCTGCTTGATAACCAGTAGTCTGTAGCAGAGAGCCTTTTATTTGTGGCTGCATTATTGCTCAAGACTCTTCGATGATTGTTTACTTTAAAAGAACACGCCACTAATTTAAATCATTGAAATCTGTTAGCTTGTCATCTACAGTTTGAAAAGGATGAAAGAGAAGAAGCAACCGAAGAGCTTTATTCAAAGTAACTCTTTATTGATTTTTTTTTGTTTAGTTGTTTATTGTTTAGCTTATTTTTGTATTTTGAACAGCAGTGTAGTGAAAGTGTGGCCATACGAGGATAGTAATAAACTGCTGTACTAATCCTCTAATTACATTATGTCACACAGCCTTGAGTTAACATGTACTTGTGTTGTTTAATATCTCATTTTTTGTCTTCTGATTTGTGAGTGATCAGCTTTCTTTTTTTGTGAAATATGGTCTCTGCTTACTGTGCCTCATGCTGATCTGATTGTGTTGCCTGAATAATCAATGATATGCCATGACACACTGGAATAGGGTAAAGGAAGGAAGTCTAAGCTCATGTGATCATGTTCATATTGAGGGCAGCATTGGTTCCTAGTACAGCTGCTTCACTTCAAGTGAAAATAAACAGTTTAGGTAACTAGACAACTAGCCTCTGCTGTTTTACTAGACATGCTTTCACCTCCAGTAGTATTCTACTGATCGCAATGATTATTGTGGTGCCAACCAACTTCCCAAATGCAGCAACAGAATTGCAAAACTCCTCAGTGCAAACCTAATAAACTCACTGAAAGGTAGATAACACAGATTGATGAAAAGATAAACAGTCGCATTGTTTATTTATTTATGTAGAAATAAATAAATTCACAAGAACTAACCCAAAAAGTTAAAGCAGTAGAAAAACTATGACTCATCTTCCTCATTTTAATGAAATTGAGTAAAAGTGGAGATACAGCCCTTTCTTCTGTCAAGTACGCTATGATAAAAGCTTTCCGGTTAAGCTTGTCAAAGTAAAACATAAAAGTGCCCACGTGCACATACACCAGGTTTCTGTGGCGAAAACAGATACCCAACAAAACATCTGAAAACATGCACAGAATGACGTCAGCTACTCATGTGAGTCAAAAGCTCAGGTTTCAGATTGCTTTGTTTCAGTCATTTTTTGTCTTTGTGATATTATAGAAAGGGGATGTCCCGAATCTAGTCATCTCTAGGGACGGACTATGGGTGTGAGCACAAAACCCCCCACCCAGCTGGCTTAAAGGTAGGTGGGGAGGCTTGTTTCACAATGAGTCCCCAAAAGTTTATTCTGTTCATCTGGACATACCGTCTTCAGTGGAAGAAACGTTTCGTCGCTCATCCAAGTGACTTCTTCAGTCTCAGCTGACTGCAGGTCTCCCCAGTCTTATAAACAGTCAAGATTTACTCACCTGGATGATTGAGCATACATCAAGACGTTTAACAATGAGAATAAATCCGTCCAAACATAAAAAAAATAATTGTTTCACTTTTAATGCTTTGAACTAAATTAATGATGAACAAACTCTTAATTTCATCGTTTCAAAAAAACCAAAAACTGAATGTTGTTTTCTTGTGCAGTGTCCCTTATTTTCTCGGTTTGTCTCATTCGTGTGTTTATTTACCTGCATGGCATATAACTAATATATGTATAACACACGTTGCTCAATTACAGAAAAAAAACCCCGTGGTGAGGTTTGTGCTTTTATTTTAAAGGGAAACTTAGCCAACTTCCGCTTTCCTCTGCCTCGTTCTTCCTACTTGACAGCCTTGTAACGAGTTTCTGAGACAGCATGCAGGCTGGCAGGCACACTGGCGGAGCAGAGCGCTGAGGGGCGTCCTGACAGCAGCAGCGGTAGCGGCGGTACCAACAGTGGGAGGAAAACAACCTGTTCTCCAAGTTCTCCACAGTTTCACTCCGCCTCTCTACAGCCCTAAAAACCAAACTCCAGTTCCATTAAAAAGTTTGCTCTTTCCTCTGAGGGTGGTGGAGATCATCATCATCATCATCATCATCATCGTCGTGTGGCTTCTTGAGTGAGCAGTGGTCATGTCGGGATCGCACTGCAAAAGTTTGTACCCCTTCAGCGGGGAGCAGCACCAGCAGGGACTGAGCTTCGAGGCAGGGGAGATTATTAAGGTGGTCCAGGCTCTGCCTGGAGGCTGGTGGGAGGGAGAGAAGGATGGAGCCAGGGGATGGTTCCCCTCCAGTTACGTCCAGGTCCTGGAGGTAAGGCTGCAGAATCGATTGTTTTGACTTTTTACTGCATTGGACTGCATTAGATGAAAATGTGCTTGAGTAAATTGAACTTATTTGGCTTTAATTTTGATGAAAACAAGCAGAAAAGTGTATTTTTAATGCCTGTGTGACTCTTGACACACACACACACAGTAACAGCTTGGTTTGAACAACAGATGCAAACTTGAAGATAAAGACAGCATTGAATGATGCTCTAACAAATAGTTTTCCCGTGCTGTGCTTATCAGATTAACTCAGACCTTCCCAGCAGTCACCTCTCCGCCTGGCTGAGCGGCTGCGCACTTCCTCATTCCATACGCATTCCAATGAAGCGCTCAGGTCTCCTCTCTGTGCGCCTGACTGCTCTCATGGTCAAAACCTTTCAGTCCTCGCCCTATCTATCCCCTCTGTGGGTTTAGCCACACTGCTGCTACAAGTCTCACTAGATCTCATACCTTAACATCGGCATGTATGGCTCTGAGAGGAGTAGTCGGTTTTTGACACCACCCTGTGTTCTGAGAGTTGGTTACAATCCTGTTGGGCACTAAGCCCAGCATTCTCAGCGATGGCATTTTTATCTTATCTAGATAGCATATGCAGAAACTTGATTAGTGACAGCTGAATGGTGCTGATGAAAAAAGGGCCATTTGCAGGGGTAAAACAAAAGACCGTTCAAGCACAGCATCTCTTATCTGGTCCCAGACCAGTTTAGGGACAGAGCTGATGGGTGGGGCAGTCGGGTGGTGCAGGTTGAAGAGTTTCATCAAGCAAACCACAGTGAGCTCTAAAGGTGCAACATGTTGGAAATGAAATGGCAGAAGGGTCTTTCTGCCTAATAATAGGGTGATGTTCACATGTTAGTGTTTTAATCATGAGTTTCAGTATGATATGGCTCCAAATAACTTTAATGAATCATGACACTGAAAGGTGTGAAAAGTTGCCTTTTATAATGAGTAAAGGCCAGGCAGAAGTCAGAACTACAGCCCCACACACTCCCATGTTACACTGCTAACACAAACCCCCTTTGGGGTCGTGTCAGGGAGGGGATCCGATGTAAAACTGGTCAATCAAACATGCGTCGCTAGCCGCTGTGTTGACCCCTCATAGCAAGGGAGCAGCAAAAATAGCTTTTTAAAAAGATCTCTATGGACAGTTTCCCTCATCATAGTCAGTGCATGATGGGTAGTTTGTTTTTAAATCTAAAATATCCACATGTGCACTGGTAAGACCTAAATGTAGGGACATTGCTGCTTTGACTGATGCATGGACAGAGGTAGCTAAAGCTCCCTCGCAGACTGATCAGCACCAGAGCCCAGATTACTGTAAGAAGTTTGAATACTGAAATAACTCGAAATGATTCACCGCGGCATGTGCATGTGTGTACATACATGTGTGTCATCTAGGAAAAATGTGGTCCTGGAAAGAAGTACCACAAACATAGTTTTGTGTGCTCTGGCAGGTGTCTGTTTGTCTGACTGTCTGCCGGTCCACGGGCAGATTGTGTCAGCTTTGTTTGAGATGTAATTACAAGACTTCACAGGTGTGTAGTAGAAGGCTGCATTCCACAAGGATGTGTGATTCCTTTTTGTGTCTTTGACATTGACGACATTTCATCTCATTTTGATTTTATGTGTTTTTGTATCTTTAGGTGTTTTTTGTTGTCTTTGAAGTAATATTTTTCTGGTTTTTCTGATCATTGTTTCTCTGGACTTATTTTATCCCTTTTTTTGTTTTTTGGTTGTTTTGTGTCTCTTTGTGTCTTTTTGCTGATTTTGTCCCATCCTGTAGTTATTGTGTCTTGTATTTTTAGGATTATTTTGCATGACTTTGTAGTCATCTTTGTCTGGCTTCAAACCTTTTGTTTCATCATGATAACACAGCAGTCCTTTTAAGCATAGTGCAAATTCTACATGTCAGTCGCACAATAAACAAACATTTGCTTGTTTCTTACTGGTATAATCTTCATTGTTGCTGTTATTCTGTGGATGAAGGATGAAATATAGTTGCATCAGAGCTAGACTGAATGCACTACGATACGTTATAGGCCAGAAATCACCTTTGAAATGGTCTTAAAAACTCTGATTAGGTGCAGTCCTCATGGTAAGAATACTAAAAAGATGGCAGAATATATAATTTTGTAGAACCGGCCAGTCTTCCCCTGCTGGGTGCACTGGCACTTTTTGTAAATCTCTGATGCAATGTGAGGAAAGAGCTCACCCCTTAAACACGGGTGCATTTGGAAACAATAGCTTGCTTATCTGAAACAAGGTGTGACTCATCACACAAATAAAATTTCTCCCCAGTTTATTGTGAACCCACAGAACTCTGCGGTCTGCAGATCATGTTTGATATATTCAATGTTGTGGGTACAACCGCCAGAAGTAACCGCTTACCCACAGTTCCTGTCTGCACCGGAGTGGAATCTTCTAAAAATAACCTTACACATCAGAGAAATGACACAGGAGTAAAGTGAGGAAAGTCACTCATCAGTTAGCTTTGCTGGTTCAGTATTGAGCTGGTAAGGTGTTTTTCCCCCTGTTCTCTAACAGCATGAGTCAGTCTGTTTTCCCCAACAGGCCAGTGACGTACACTGGGTTATGTTAAGTAGTGATTCTAAAGCCGACCATAGGTGTGAATATGAATGAGAATATGAATAGTTGTATGTAATATATCTTAGTTCTGCAACAGATTGGCAGCCTGTCCAGAGTGTACTCTCCCTCTTTCCGTATATCAGCTAGGATGAGCTCTAGCCCCCTGTGATTAGCAGAAAATGGGTAGAAACAGTTAACTTTGAGTGAACTAACAGTTAGTTGACAATATGAACTAAAACTAGCATCAATGGCATTTTTTCCAGCATCAACAAAAAGTGCAGGTACTCCCCAAATTAATTTACTTGTCCAACTATGATTGCAGGGGGATAGTTATAGTGGGATTAACCTAAAAGTTAGCAAAAGTACCAGTTCCAAGAGTGAGGTAAAAACAGAAGTCGAAGTGGCCACAACCCTATAAAATACATTTTAACTTTAAAATTCAAAAGGGATATATATATATATGTATGTATAAAAATAATATGCGACAGACTGGCGACCTGTCCAGGGTGTACCCCGCCTTTCGCCCTATGACAGCTGGGATAGGCCCCAGCGCCCCCCGCGACCCTGAAAAGGATAAGCGAATGGATGGATGGATATATATATATATATATATTTTTTTTTTTTTTTTTTTTTTTTTTTTTTAAACTGCCATATACACTTAAGGTGATCGTAAACATATAAACCAAGATAGGTTTTGCACTAAACATTCCTTTCAATGTTGTAAAGATTGTCATTTTAACATAGGAGTCTGTGATCATTGGCTTTCTTTTAGATGTTTAGATGGCCATTAGATTAACTGCAGTTTTGTTTTTTTTGTTTTTTTTTACTCCTACATTTGCTTCATTTTTCAGCTCTGAATTTACAGCTACGCCTCATTAACTCAGCCGGTGCCGTTTGCATGTTGTGAAACTGGTGTCATTAAAAGTTGCCCAATTAGTTATTGGAAGTAACAGTTTGCAATGCACCCATGCATGCACAGACATCATTGCTGGGTTTATCTTGTATGAAAGAAATGTTAAAAAGGTAATTACTCTCAGATAAGATTTAAATTGTTTCCCATATTTCCTCAGAGTTTAAAATTCAGGGCAGAAAAGCAGTTAAGATATCAGTGATTAAAGAAAAGATTTAATCCCCCACCACCTCTTTCCACCCCTGTAATGTTAATCCTGTCCTAATGAGCTTAATGCAATATTAGGTTAAAGTATACCTCTGTCAACACAGACTCTACTACCAGGATTATAGCATTATAATCTGGAATGAAGGTTGACCTCCCACTTCATGTAAGCTAAAGTACACATATTGAAACTTGAGATTTCACAGTCAGTGTGTCATCTGGGCTGTAGGTTGATCAGACATGTTCTGAAGGCTGTAAGATTGCACAATGAAATGACTAATAGTGAAAAAAAAGCCACTTCTGTATTTTCCTCATTTAGTTTACGTATTCAAACCTCTGTCAAAAAAAAATCTGTTCTCTGGCGCAGAGTAACTCCGCTCCCTAACCTTCAGAATCATAAGTGATCATAAATACAGGACATGCATTAATCCCTTTGTATAGCTGGCACATTTAACAATGCAGCTGTGACCTGGCTCTGTTGTCATCTTCAGCATTGTCGCTTTGTTCTACAAACAGCGTCATTCTTCTGAGCATAATGAATCATTCACATTGTAGTTCTGCTGTTTTTAACAGACCAACACTTGTTGCTGCTTTAAAGTTGGGCTAATATTCAAAACAACTGCCTGTTAAAGACCAAAAGCTGAACTCTTAGCAGTAAAACACATTTAATATTTGCTTGTGTTTATCTTACGCTGTGTTTTCAGGATTTATTTTCATCTATTCTTTGTCACCGTACAACTTACGGTCTAATTTTAAATTTAATTACAATGGTTACTACAGCATGGACCTTTTCTAGACTTCTTGTGAACATATCATTAGTTATTGTAACATTGTACTCCCCAACGTTATTGCAAGGATGTTGCGACATAACTATAACGTAGTCCGACTGAGTCAGAGACAAGCAGTAAGAAAATGATACATGTTATAAGTAAGCTTACAAGCTTTGCTCTTCAGGAATGTTGATAACAATTAGAACCCAACTGATACAGGATTTTTAAGAATGATACAAATACTTCAAAAAGCCAATATTCTGATATATGGCCCTATTGACATATAAAACAAAAGCAGATTTCCCTAACATCTGTTTTGTGAAGATGGGATACAACGCACATCATGGTGACCAGGGTTTTGTAGGAAAGGAGAAATCACCTTGTTGGTGCAAAAATACTGGTTTATGGCCATCAGACTGTATTAGTTTTGGAGGCTTTTGTAGATTCAACCAAAGAAATGGGAACAAATCATGTCATTGCAACAGGCAGCGAGTAACAAAGTGTTTAAAGAGACCA